GTAGGTACCTTATGGCATATATATTATACTTCAAGAAAGCTATTTGAAAAAAATAGTAACACTAACCAACGTGAAAAGTGCAAACATGATAAGGATATATAAACTAGGAATTGAAAGGCATAGGTTTTCCCACTGTTAAAGAAATAATTATCCATGACACTTGTTAAGATACTTAGGCAAGGCTTAATTCAGGGCTGTCACAATAAGTACAGGGACCACTGTAGTGAGGTTTTGCTCTAGGGGAGAGAGATTGGGCTCAATTCCGAATATACAAGAAGTAGGGATTTAGAGCCAAGGATCAGAGGCGGGTGGTCAGTGGATGGAAAATTAGTAACAGAAAACATGAGGATCCGGGCATGGGGGGATTCTCACTAAACCACCCTAACAGGATTCTTGTTGAAGACAGATCCCCTGGAGGATGGTGGAGGACAAGGGACCTGATCAGATGACATCAGATGTCAAAGGTGGGAGATCTGGCTAAATCCAGGTGACAGGATTCTTGCTAACAGTGGGCTCATGGAGGACAGGCCCAAGGACAGGGCCTAGTAGGGCTCAGAGGAGCCTGACTAAAGTTTGGTCAAGGAGAGCGTTTCTGTCACCCCTTCCCAAATACAAGTACTTCAATGATTTGATTTATAGTCTAGAGTTTTCTTTACATCTACTAAAGACGTATGCTCTTGTTTTTTTTTGAAGAAAAAAAATTGCAATCATTCTTCAGCATCTTCATTTTCCTGTTGACAATAGGGCTCAGACACTGGTCCTTGGATGTTTATCTGCCTGTGTCCGAGGTTCTGAGGTCACGTGGGGCACAGCATGAAAGCCTAAATCACTGCCCTCCCCCAACCTCCACATTCCTTACTGAGGGTGGGCAGCGTCATGCCTGGGCCGAGAGAGAGGATTTGGGGATTCGTTTTCACGGGCCTTGCTTTTTTTTTTTTAATTGTTAAAATTATTTTAATATTTTTATTCTCATTTCATACCTAGTTACACAGACCATATCAGACCAAATATTATGCCTATTTGTATTATTATCTCTGTCTGGTAAATGTCACAGGCCTTTCACGATCTCAGATCCAGACTAAGGGCCAGAAGCCTCAAAACAGGCCCCTGTGCAAAGCCTTCCTAGACAACAGTGTAGTGAGTGATTTTAAGTGTCAGGCGGACACAACAAGCGAAAGATCAAGGTAATGATTCAAATGCAAACAATGGAAAACTGACTATGTTGGTATGGCCTTTGACCCAAAGAAATCTCCCTACTTTACTTTTTGAAAGTAAATATATTACATTGCATGCACTGGCTCTTTCTGTCTCAGAGAAAGGATGCTAGGGCTGCTCTAGATCACCTACAGTAGATGTACCCCAAGCGTTAGATCAGAAAGACGGATTTGCAGGGGCAAAACACCAGAGATTTTGAGTTCCTGTCATCAGGACCTTGGATTTGCTGCAGGTGTTGAGTTTGTATGGAAATACCCCACAGTTTTCACCATTTCAATGCGTGATATAGAATGTTGATCCTTGAAGATTAATAGGGAAGAAGGATGAACAGACCAGCACCCCTCATTCCTAATAAAGAACCGGTTCTCTATGGAGCTTTTATGTCGTGCTGCTGACATTGAAAAGAAAGCTACAGGAGCAGACATGAATGCAAGCGGAAGTACTGGCAAGCGGTGTTCAAAATCCCTCAGCTTAATCTCCCAGTCTCATCAGAGTGGAGGGAAATGTCCTTGACACCTAATGCCATGGAGCTTGGGAAACCTCTTAAGGGAGCGATTGGAACTGACGTGTATGATCTGGAAACTGACATAAATTGCCTGTTATTAAATCTCCCTGAATTATTAAGTCGAACTTTACCATCTGAACACCATTTTAACATCCATCCTGAAATGGTCCTAACAGGATGTGTTAGCTCCATAAAGATAAAGAAATACTGAATAACAACTGAACAAGAAGCCCTATGCCTATATGAACGCACAGAAAAATAAAATGGGGCAGGGCGGGGACGGTGTAGCTGGTACTTTTTGATGGGTGGTTTCTACATACGAAGAAAGCAAGCAACTAAACAACGCATTTGGGAACTGTAAGTCATTACTCTTTAGAGCCCATCCTAGGAGGTGATTATAAAGAAGACACCTTACCTGTCGTCCCCACTGTCTCCCTCCATCCTCACCGTTAGTGGTTCCTTTCACTCCAAACACCTGTTCTTCCTGTTTT